CACACACGCACGCACACATACACACACACATATACACTTTTTCACTTTCAGGGCGAAGAGTCCGAGTCGGACGCAATCGTGTTGGCATGCACTAATTAAATGTGGGGAGGTGGCGCAGAAATGTATAGACATAGCATGCACTCACCAGACCGGGGTGGGAATTATCACCAGCAGTCGGAAAAGTTGTCCCACCCCCATAACAATACCAAATATGAAGGCACATGAGACGGCATGAGAATGCCCGGCAAACAAAGAATGCTTGGTGTTCCGTAGTCGGCCATGAAAATATACATATACATACACATACAAAGCATACATACTCATACACAACAGTATGCCGCGCTCACACACGCACATGCATGCTGCATAGGTACGTACGCGTGCACACGTGCCTGCACATGAGTGCACCTAGAGTCACAGCTTTTTCATAAAGCAGTAGTGAGCCGATGTTTTGAGCGATCCCAATCGGCGCCTTCTGAGGGCTGCCGGGACCTCGGAGAGCTCGCGGCCGGCGGAGCCATGTTGGGCCTTCTGTGAGGATGAGGACAGATGCTATGTGTGTGTATGTATTTATTTTTGTTTATTCGTGTGTGTGTGTGTGTATATATATATATAGATATAGATATAGATATAGATATAGACATAGAGGCTTCAAAGCTGTAGAAGGTCGTATGGTGTTTGGGCGCATCATTCAAGGGGCCAGTCGCACAGGCTGCGCGCGGTGTTGTGCGATTTGGGTTTCAGTCATGCTGCTCTGACACCCGGGCTGTGGGTCACTTTGCCTAGATAACTGTCTGGATTTTACGAGTCCCAACGCGGTCAGGCTTGAACTGTGATGGGCCCGGGCTTTTTTCTTGGCAGTGCCCGCTGCAGCTTTCGGGTGCAGGACAAGTTGAGCACTAGCTTTGCCACCGTCTTGCCCACAGGCCGACACGGGATGGGATGTCGGATATTGTGTGATGCGAAAGCTTGTTCGATGTTTACATCCTTTTGCTGTTCAGGCTCTCATCACGTGGAGCTGGATGACTTACCATCCACGCTTATCCCGTATTCCGACGAGCCAACCAAGGCCGAATGCCTGGTCGTCTGTTTGCCCATGCATTACTTTGTCGCATTTCCTGCGGTCGCAGGTGCGCAAGGTACGGTTCAATCTCACTTTGTGTCTCGGATGCAGCAAACCGGCCCAGGCCCTGCATTGCGAGATGAAAGTCTCAGCCACTTCATCCCTGAACGCCTTGGTGGGTCTCGAATATGTCCGATGCGTCACCTCAGGACCACGGTACATGAAGTCACTCCCTACTCTGAAGTCTACGGCATGCACCCGCTGCTGTGCAGCAAGTTTAGGGGGGAGAGCGGTACTGAGTGCGCACAGCATTGTACCCTCTGGTGAGGCGGTTGCTGAAAGTCCAACCGGGCGAATTCTACTTGCAGCCAGCCCCTCGACGAGATGATCGCAGTGACAGCGAAGAGGAGGAGACTCTAGATGATAGCTTGATCAGATCGCGAAGCATCGGCTTGCTGCATTTGGACGTTGCTGCGATATTTCCGTACCGATTTTGGGCCACAGCTTCATGTCAAAACAGACCAGATTTGTGTGCAATCCAGTCATGCAAAGCAGGGACAATGTGGACTTGCATTGAGCTCGTGTGGTCCATCAGATCTTGAAAAAAATGTCATTAGTATCCGTGACATGATGTCCCAGCACTGACACCCCAGGAGGCAGAACTAGGACGCACATGCAAATCGGCATGGCCGTGTGCTGCCATGGGTCGCCATGCGTGCAACGCATGGTGCATGTGATGCGCTCTTTGTCGCTGTGGAGGGAGGTCTCAGCTATGAGGTTTTTCTGCTAGGCCTCGCTGATGGTCTGAGCGGACTGGAGCCCGACGTCCTCGGCCGCCACGTCGTTCCAGCAGAGGCACTGCTGCGCGTGTTGCCGAGACTCCGCGACTTTTTGGCACCCCGTTTTCTCATCCGGGCCACGAGTGTCCAGCAGCGGCTGCGAAGTCAAGGGCTGCCTGCCTGCCAGTGCTCAGCTCATGTCTGGTCCGGCTTGCTGGATCGCATGAAGCTCAAGCTTGCACCCCGAGACGAGGTGCAGGGCAAAGTCCGAGACTTGCAAAGGCGCTTCATTAAACTGGCGAAGACTCGAGAAGCGACTCCCCATCCCTCGGCGGATGCATCACTTATAGCTGCAGAGATTGGGAGTTTGCTTGATGCGCTTGCTCTTCGAGCTCCAGCAAAGTCGAAGGGCCCGACAGCCCCATCAACGCTGGCGAAGAGTGATTGGGAAGTGGAGGATTTGAGGCGTATTGCTGCGAACCCGGGCTTTGGGCTCCAGGCCTTGTCCAATGGGATCAAGGTCATCGCAGGTCTGCAGCAGCTGCTCAGAGCTCGCTACCCCAGTGGCCCTAGCGGCCCAAGCCCCCGGTCGGAGTTGCCGGCAGCGGAGGCGGAGGAGCTCCTGCTCTGCGCCTTTCGATCCGATGCGCCAGGCCCTGGCCTTGCCGATTCGCCGAAGGCTTTTGACACCCCATCCATCCCCTCCACTCCGGTCGGCACAGCTTCAACTGGGTCTTGTGTGCCATGCTCGGCAATTCATCTCCAGGGGCCTGAGGCAACCAGCCGTTTCCAAGACCCCAGGGTGAACCAAGCTGCTTCCCGTGCGCAGAGCGACTTGCTCCGGACATCCACGTCGAATGGAAGGCCCGTGCGCTCGGAGAGTGTGCCTGCAGATGAGCTGGAGACTGCAGAGATCGCGAGCTCGCGAAAGCCAGTCCCAGAGCTTCCGCAGAGCAAGCTGCAACCGCCAAGCTCCTGGCAAAGCATCTTATCCGGAAGGACGTCGAGGTGGTCAAACGGAGCAAGCAGCTGCAGCACAAGTCCAGGCAGCCTTGCAAGCTTGAGACGTCGAGGCAGCGAACCGCCTGGGCGGAAGTCGGACAGTTTCCTGGCAACTCCAAGGGTTTCGACGGGTGCTGTGCCCAGGGCCTCGGGCTCATACTTTGACCGAATGCGCGCACGGGCAATGGCTCGTGTGGCCTCGAAATCGCCAGATCCCAGTGTGACGGAGGCGGTACGGCGAGCCCAGAGCCGAGCCAAGAGGGCCCAGCAGCAGCAGCAGCAAAGAGATGCGGCGGATGCCAAGGCCCGCACAGGTCCAACGGGCGAGCTGCTTGCACCTGCAACGGCCAGCTTATTCAAGCGCAGAGACGAGCGACTTCAGCGCTTTCTCACTCAGAGGGAGAACGTGACGGCGATGAGCGAGATGAGCGAGCTTGCGAGAATCGAGTCTCCACAGCCGCTGCCGTCTCCTGAACCGTGCCCCTAATTCAAGACGAGCCATCCAGAGTCTGCAAGCAGTTTCACTAATTAGTCGTAGGCTAGGCCTTGTTTATGTTTCACTCGGTAAGAGTGCACGCGCTACATACATTAGGCCGGCCTCGGGGAAACAGGTCCAGTCTGGAACTTATGTGCAAAGGGCATGGAGGGGGTGTTTGAGCTGGAAGCATCGCAGGACGGCTTGCCCGATAGCCGCTTGCTTGCATTTGGTGGAGGCCTGGCTGCGGCGATTCCGAAAAACCTTCGACGATGTAAATGATATGAGTGGCTTATACGTGCGATAAGTGCGTTTCAGGACCACTGTCCTGATTATAGATCCACGCACCAAAATGGTCCACAAGAAATGTGGAGGGAGCCGCAGACCCTCTTCTTGGGGTCTTGATGGTAACACACGTTCGCATGTCGCTGTAGCGCGCATACAGATCCACGGCAGTGCTGCCAGGTATGCAGAGTTATCCACAAATGACTCGCCAGTTCCTGCTGAGAGCGCTGCCAAAGGAGCGGTTTTGTCTGAGCGACATGCCGTCCGTACGTTTGTGAATGACTGCTTGCATGTCATGTACATTATGGTCGGAAGGCATGGTGGAAGCTCTGGCCACTTTTGTTTGCCGCATTTTGGCTTCGTGCCTTCGGTGTCAAGACGGTGCTGGATGCCCGGCCGCATTGTCAGTCCGGGTTTGTCAATTCAGGCTGGCTTTCCAAGCCAGGTGGCGTCCGGGTCCTTCCGCGTCTGTCCTCGATCCGTTCATACTGTACACCGCGAGGGACATCACTGCAAGGACGTTCTTCGTTGGAGCTCTTGTGGCTCAGCCCTGCCCTGTCATGTACATAGCTTGATTTAGATGCGCCGACTTCTCAGACATGTTCGTGCCACCTCCGCCGAAAGTGGTGCCTCCTATGCCCGTGGTGGCCCCATACGTCTCAGACGCAGACCAGCGGAAGAAGCTGTGGAAACTGGGTATGCAACACCACTTGAGGGCGTTGGAAGGCTCGGTTTGCCAAAGCCAATCAGCTCCTTCTTGACGGCACCACGCTGTCTGCTTCTCCGCTGGCAGGTGTCACGAAGGTGACCGACCAGTCCGATCCAGGTGCCGCAGACGCGGGCGTGCGCAAAGCTCGAGAGAAAGCCCGAGACTTCCAAAAGCACGAGACGAGGAGCGCTTTTCCTTGGATGCACATATACATACAACATACATACATACGTACGTACGTACGTACGTACGTACGTACGTACGTACGCACACACACACACAGAGACATACACACATAGTCACATACATACCTGGTTACCTACGTACGTACGTACGTACGTACATACATACATACATATATACCTACATACGTAAATACGCACGTACACACACATACATACATACATGCATACATACATACTACATAGATACATACATACACACATACATACATACATACATACATACATACATACATACATACATACGCACACACACAGATAGATAGATAGATAGATAGATAGATAAGATTAGAT